ATCATTTGGAGGGGTTTCTAGCCGGGGCCAGGCGGGCTGCCAAACGTTTGGGGCGGGAGCTGCGTCGGCGGCCTCCCCTTGGGCCCGTGGCTAGCCAGCCCCTGGTTCCAAATACCATTCCCCCGGCGGTCTGTCCACTCTCGCAGTCCACACGGGGTGGTCCGTGAGTGTGAGAGAGAGAGAGCACTCGTTGTGCCGCGCTCGGATTGACACGTCACCGGCGCGTACTTAATGCGGTGAGTAATCAACGACCTTCGTGAATGGCATGTGGAACTCTGGAACCACCGGTCTGGGTTCGGAAGGACCGCGCCGTCGCTCTGTGGCTCTGTCTCTGTCGCACTCACGGGGCGTTCCGAAGGGGTGTGAGAGAGACAGGGCGACGGCTGGCGGGCCAAGCGATGCGTCAATCTCGGTCCGAAAAGCACCGCGAGGACAACAAGCACGTCCGGACGGACAGAGACAGACACGCTCTGCGCACGCGGTACCCGGCCGGCCGGCATGCTCCTGTCGCGTGGGGTATCTACGCAATGCTCGCGAGCCGACGCGGCCGACGCGCGGCGTGCCCTGTCGCGTGGAGTATCCCCGGCGGGGCGGCGGCCGGTCACGACTCTGTGTTCGGCCAAAGGGATTGATTGCAGACCACGGCATCGCGATGTTGCCCAAGCCCGGTCCAGCCCGGCCCAGCCCGGCAGGGCAGCGATCACTGGGCTTCTGCTGAAGCCACCCTTGGCGATGGACTCCGAACAGTGCTTTCACCGCCCCGTCTCGCTTGAACTGAAGCACTGTTTGGAGTCGGCCTTCGAAGCGGTTCGATGATCCGCCTTCAGCCCCGCCAGGCCACCACGACAAACTCGGCTGGTCTAATTTCAAGTGGCGTTGCAGGGCTGGCCGCGGAAGGGGCGGGGAGACGGGGGTGGGGGCGGTGAGCCCCGCCGTCGCCACCTGGGCGGAGGGGTGCCCACCGGGGGCCGCCAGGACGGCGACGGCGCTGCCGGCGACAAGAGCGACTCTACCAGCGAGACCGAGGACGGCGAGGAGGTCAGTCCGAACCTCCCCGATGTCAGCGTCAACGACGTCCTGGCCGAGGAAACAAAAAGTCTCAAGTCCCTGTAACTAGTTTAGTTTTTTTTCCAGCGTGGTCAACTTTAACACTGCCTAACGGCGGGCTTAGCGTAAAGACGGGATGAGCTACAATTAATCCGATGGACAACCCAGTTTCTCCCTGCAGCCTCGCGGCGTGGCGTGGAGTGGCGTGGCGTGATCGTCCTTCGGCGCCCCCGCCCCGCATGCCGCGCTGCCGCGCCACGCAACGCCGCGTCGTGCTGCTGACCCCGGCTGAATGGCTTTGCAGACAATTACACGTCGGCCACGCCGCGCCACGCCACGCCACCCCGACCAGCAATCTGATCCGGGGCATTAGTTGAGCGATGCGATTCACCAATGAGCGCCTTGGCGGCGGCCTGCCCATGGCCTGCCGGCCCGGCGGGCGTGATGCTTCGTCTCACTCGCACTCGTTGCCACTGCGGCCCCGCTAGGACTCTGGCGAGGACGACGGCGACAACGAGGACGACGACGAGGAGTCCGACGAGGAGTCCGAAGACGCGTCCGATGAGGAGTCCGAGGACACGGACGAGGAGGCCGACAGCTCCTCGGGCGACTCTTCCGACGACTCGGCGTCTCGGCGTCTTCGGCGTCCTCTGCGTCCTCAGCGGACTCCGGTCGTGCCACCATGACAGAGCCGTGGTCAGGTAAGGCTAGCGGTCTCCATCAACGGTAAGGATCGGCCACTGCGACAGTGACGGGTTGCAGGTCGCGGGGTGCTGGTGACGGCGCGAGGCCGCCGAGTGGACCTGTCCTGCCCGAGGGGGGATACGACTGCGTCCGGCCCGGCCTCCGCCATCCTCCCCAGCCGACGCCGCAGGACGCGCCGCCGCCAGGACCGCCGCCAGGACCGCCGCCAGGACCGCCGCCAGGACCGTCAGCGCGACGCGGAGGACAAGGAGGGCGACGGACGGCGAGGGCGTGGCCGCGGACATGGCGCCGCGCCACGGGCAACGTCGCCAAGGGTCACTCGGCCTACGGCGACGACGGCGACGTCCCCGAGGCCCGCGCCACCGCCGCGGCACGCCACTGCCAGCGGCCTGGGTGCGAGGGGTCCCCGTCGGGGACGTGCCGGGGCCGCGGCCACCAGGGCGGCCAGCACGGCGGCCCCGGCGCGCCTCCCAGGAAGTCGGCAGTCGGCCGCCGCGAGGGCGCGGCCCGCACCGCCTCGCCCCCCACTCGCCGCGCAGAAGAACGAGGTGAGCGGGGAATTGAGGTATTGGCAGCCGTCTGGCCGTTTGAACGCACCGTGGGAATTTTCGTCTACTTCAGTGGCAACCCGGACCACCATTGATCCTCGCAGGTCCTTAAAGACGCCCGCCTGGCCAGACTCCTCGCCCTGGACTCGTCCTCGGCGACGTCCTCGTCGACATCATCGACGTCGTCGTCTTCGGGGCTGCCGAGCTCCAGCAGCGAGGACACCAGCTACACCGGCAGCACCGTGACCAGCAGCTCCGGAGCGGGCACCTACAGCACGTCGGACGGCTCCGAGGAGCCCGACAGCCTCACCACGCTGGACATCAAGCTGCACAACATCTTCTACAACTAGCCGCCGCAAAAACACTTAAAAATAGGAAAATCCGGGAAAATACGACAACCATGGTGCACTTCTTGCGTATCGTGGGAATTTCGCCTCCTCATGTGGCAACCCTGCTCGCAACCCTCTCGGCTGCGCTGCGCACAATTTTCGCGCGGGCCGCGCCGACCTTTCCAAAGGGCTTCTGTGAATGAGAGTCTCGAAGTGCCTTTCGAGAGATTTACGCGCCCCGTTCACCTTTTTGTCGGCAAGATGAATGATCTTGCTCGCGCGGTGGCGCGGTCGCGCGGCGGCAGGCAGGTGACGAAAACGATCTAGCCCAGCGGGCTGATTCCGAACGCGGCGCCCTGTCTCTCTCGCACCCATGGGGCGTCCGGGTTGGGGGTGCCGGAGGGACGCAGTGCCGCTGCACTGTTCGGAAGCGGCCCGCAGGATGTGGGCAGTATTACGGCAGTATTCGCGCGGGAGCGATCAGTGCTTCGTTACACCGCCGTCGTCCGGCCCTGCTGCCGGCAGTGGCGGGATATTAAAGATTGCGACCGGTACTTTCAAATCACGCCCGGAAATAGATGTATCTCGCTACAAGACCAGCACTGACAGCCTACACGGTCCTTATCTTCCGTACCTCGATCTGAAAATATGTTTGAATCTGCGCGTTTAACTCGGGTGTTTTGCCAGCCACGAACTTCGGAAATTTTTGGGACCTTGTGCCGTGAATGGAGTACGTGCAAACTGTGAGTATACCTCATAAAAGCAACAGGGGTGACATAATTTTTTTTTCATTTTTAGGCGTGTACACAAAATGTCACCAAGCGAACTTCCCTGCTCGCTTGCCGTATTTCTGCGAGGCGCTCTAGCATTAATTAAAGCAGGGACTGCTGCAGATCTCGATTGAAACGGCGGCAGGCTGCTCGGGCTGGCGAGCCGTCGGGCCGGCCGGCCGCAGCATGGCGCGTTCCAGTGAAACGGGAATAGGAGGCAGCGAGGCAGCATTTGCATGTGTGACGATGAGAGATGATACGACAGGCCGCCTCACTGCAGCACTGCAGCGCACTGCAGCCATAGCCATGCCGGACCAAAGGCACTGTGCCACCGCCACGGCGCCATACCGCCACGATTTTGGCTTTGACCGCAACGATTTTGGCTTTGACCGCAACGATTTTCCGACCAAGTTGGTCAAAAGTGGTCGAATCTCGGAAACTTGCTGACTTTGGGTGGCCACTGTGTCCAATTCTAGTCGCCGTAAAAGGCCTCCCTCGACGTCCTAGTATTCTTAAGACCCTACTCTTTCATGCCCTGTATCGGGAAGACGTTGACCACAACGATTTTGGCTTTGACCGCAATGATTTTCCGACCAAGTTGGTCAAAAGTGGTCGAATCTCGGAAATTTGCTGACTTTGGTTTGGGCCCACTGTGTCCAATGTAGTCGCCGTAAAAGGCTCCCTCGACGTCCTAGTATTCTTAAGACCCTACTCTTTCATGCCCTGTGTCGGGAAGACGTTGACCACAACGATTTTGGCTTTGACCGCAACGATTTTCCGACCAAGTTGGTCCAAAAAGTGGTCGAATCTCGGAAATTTGCTGATTTTGCTGACTTTGTGTAGCCACTGTGTCCAATCTAGTCGCCGTAAAAGGCCTCCCTCGACGTCCTAGTATTCTTAAGACCCTACTCTTTCATGCCCTGTGTCGGGAAGACGTTGACCACAACGATTTTGGCTTCGACCGCAACGATTTTCCGACCAAGTTGGTCCAAAAAGTGGTCGAATCTCGGAAATTTGCTGATTTTGCTGACTTTGGGCGGCCACTGTGTCCAATGTAGTTGCCGTAAAAGGCTTCCCTCGACGTCCTAGTATTCTTAAGACCCTACTCTTTCATGCCCTGTATCGGGAAGACGTTGACCACAACGATTTTGGCTTCGACCGCAACGATTTTCCGACCAAGTTGGTCCAAAAAGTGGTCGAATCTCGGAAATTTGCTGATTTTGCTGACTTTGGGCGGCCACTGTGTCCAATGTAGTTGCCGTAAAAGGCTTCCCTCGACGTCCTAGTATTCTTAAGACCCTACTCTTTCATGCCCTGTATCGGGAAGACGTTGACCACAACGATTTTGGCTTTGACCGCAACGATTTTCCGACCTAGTAGGTCGAAAAGTGGTCGAATCTCGGAAATTTGCTCCGGTGAATGTAAATCGGTTTGTCTCGGCGCGGCGACCGGCGGCGACACTGCCAGTGAGTACACACGCAACCGACGCGAATGACGGAGTGACAGCGCGGCGTGTGTTCTGTGACAACGCGACAACGCCCGGCGCCGTGATAACGCTCCCAGCAGCCCAGCGTTGAGGGGGAGGGGGCGCAGCGGGGCACAACGGGGCGTACCTACCGTGCACCGCCCCGTAGTGTATAGCCCGGCACTCCCGGAAGCAGTGCGCGACGCAACGCTGTTGGACCTGTGCCGCGGCCCTGCGCGTGTGTGTGTGCGTGTGCGTGAAGGCGGGTAATGCCACTGCACTGACTTGGTGCGGCGCCATGGCCGGCTTGCCGTGCGGCCCGCACTGCTTGTGGGGCGCGGCGCTGCTGTTGGCGGCGACGGCCTCGGTGGCCAGGGTGACGTGCGGCACCGAGCACCACGACATCATGCACCTGCAGCGGCTGCGGAAGAACCTGCTGTGCCTCTACGACCGCGACGCAGGTGGGGGATGGTCTAGGCCTGGTGCCGCAGTGTGCCCAGTGCGATCTCGTCTCCAACTACACTCTAATTATGGGGTGCCCAGAAACTGGGTGCCTTTGTCGCCTGCCCCACTTTTCAGGGTGCCAAATGTCGCCCAGTTTCTGGGCACCTTTGTCGCCCAGTCTCGGGGTGGACTAATCATGCAGTAACCGGCCCTCTCCCATGCACAGGTGTCTAGTTCCTGGGCGACTAAGGTGCCCAGATTCTGGGCACCTTTGGTACCTTAGTCGCTGCTGACCATGGGTGAAGGCAGGTTCCTTAATGGTTGTCCACCCGAGACTAGGCGACAAAGGTGCCAGAAACTGGGACATTTGGCACCCTAAAAAGTGGGGCAGGCGACAAAGGCGCCCAGTTTCTGGACACCCTACATTTAGAGTGTAGCCCTCGATGACCACCAGGGCCCTCGGTGTCGCCGGGGAACCGCACCAACGTGCGGTACATCTTCCTGCGCACGCGCTTCGACGTGGACGAGGCCGCCAACGCGCTGGTGCTGTTCGGCTACATCATGTTCGTCTGGAAGGACGAGTGGCTGCACTGGGACCCGCAGAAGTACCGCAACGTCAGCAGGGTGTACGTCGAGGCGGACGAGATCTGGACGCCCACCATCGCCACGGTGGAGAACCCGACCAAAGTGCTCGGCGCCGGCCAGGTGACAAAGTCAGCAGTGATGCTGTGTGGTTTTGCGTCCCGGCCCCCTCAGTGTGTCTGAACTCCGCGCCGCTCCCGCGCAGGCCCTCATCATGAACGGCACGGTGTTCTGGACGATGCACGCGCCGCTGCGGGCGCCCTGCATCCACGACCCGTCCAGCTGGCCCCACGACAAGATGGTGTGCACGATCACCATGGTCAACCTCAACCCGGCCGTCAGCATGCTCGAGCCCCGCGCCACCCAGCTCAACAACGTTAAGTGGGGGTACGACAACATATCTTCAGACGGACCAGAACGAAATGAGAAGTCTACTGAAAAGCGGCAAAGCTCGCCAGGTCCTGGTCCAGGTCCTATCTGCTGCGAGCGTTCACTCAACTCTGCGGCTGCTTTTCCGCAGGAACAACCAGGGCTGGAGCATGGACAAGCTGAGGGTGAAGAGGATGCCCAAGTTCGCGCCGATGGGGTTCAACGACAGCGTGGTGCTGACGTTCACGATGCTGCGCCATGTCGCCAAACAGGAGTCCACCACGGTGTGGCCGGTGGCGCTGCAGCCCGTGCTGCTGGCCGCGTCCATCGGGCTGCCCGCCGACTCGCCGCACCGGCCGCTGCTGCTGTGCACCCTGGTGCTGGTGCAGGTAACGCAGTGTTCGGTTTGGTTCAACCTCAGCCTGCCCACTGAGGCACTGTGAGTAAGTGCTCCATCGCAGGTGCTGCTGAGCGTGGTGGTGCCCATGGGCATCGTGGTGGTGGGCGACGTGGCGCCGCGTGTGGTGCTGCTGATGCGTGACCTGCTCGTCGTCACGGCCGTCGCCGTGCTGGAGTGGACGTGGGCACGCTGGATGCTGTCCCGGCCGGAGCCGCAGCCGCCGTCGCCGTCCAACGCGCTGCTCGACCTCGCCGACAAGCTGGCCGTCGTCCTGGTGCTGCCCGGCCCCGGCGCGCCCAAGGCCGCCCGCACGGTGGTCCTGGTGGACCGCGCGTTCGACGTACTGCTGGTCGTGGTGTGCGCCGTGCTCCTGGGGAGGCTGCTGCCTTGACAACGCGCCGCGACGCGCTGAGGAAACGCCCGTGCTTTCTCGAGGACGCCGAGTAAACGAAACATTTTTCACAATTTTAATTTATTGATTGTTGAGACTTTTTCTCGCGAGGTCTCTGAAATTGCGAACCCTCCCAAACTTATCGTTCGGAAAGAAAATAAAGGACAGAATTTGAAACGAGCATTTATGTTGTAGATAGGAAAGGCCGACAGTGCGGAACAACGAAGCCATCAGACTCCCGCCCCGCCTCTCCTTTCGCCGCATAACGACAAACTCGCAAACTCGGTACTGCCTCTTTATTCGTGACAAACCGAAGCACAATAATAATAATAATAATTGTACGATATTTCCGCATATTGCCGCATTGTCGTGCCCTAGCCCGCCACTGCCAGCCCCGGACGGGCATCACGACGTCGCACAGACTCGCTCTGTCTCTCTCGCGCCACTTCGGCCCTTCGGCACGCCCCGCGAGTGCGAGAGAGACAGAGCGACAGTGCTCGGAATGGGCCTGCCGGCCTGCAGGGTCGTGCGGGGACCTAATTGTTTGCAACAATGCAAGTACGGCCGTACATACATCGTGCATTGCAGTGCATTGGACAAGGGCAGGCAGTCCGGGCAAAAATATGAACACATTAAGACGAAATCAGCGCAAGCGGCGCAAGCGACCACTCTATTTTGTAGAACTCTCTCATTGTCTGAGCGATTCCTCGTGAGGCCGCGAGCCGACCCCCGCCTTGTCGAGGCTGCCGAGGCTGCCGGCCCGGGGGACCTCTGACCCCGCACGGCACCGCACGGTCCCACAGCGGGGCGGGGCCAGGCGGGGCGGACCCGACGTATGCACCACGGAGTGTTCTTCGTCCTTTTTCCCGTCTTCGAAAGTAGATCAGGCTGCAAAACCACGCCGCAAGCAGTCTCAAATAGGGTTGGAAATGAGCGGACGGACGCCACTGGCGGCAGGAAAGCAGTCCTCGTAGAAGGTCCTTTTTGGCTCCTACACCGCAGGACGGGACGCCAGGCGCCGCGCCGACGCCCTCCGTCGTGTCCGAGACCGCGAGGCTGCCGCCGAGCGTGCCACCGCGGCGGAGAGCGCGGCGCCGCGCGCGGACGTGACCGTCGGCAGTGTGGAGGCGTCCGGTGCACACGTCGCCGCCGACGCCTGCCGGCCGCGCCGTGGTTCATCATGGTCTAGGGCGCCGCCGACGTTGAGGGCGCCGCCACCGCGGTCCAGGGCGCCGACCCCGCCGTCCGGGCCGCCCCGCCCCGCGTGCCTACATGTGCAGGGCGGCGACCGCAGGGACGCGCGCTCGGCGCCCGTACCGGCCTTCCGCCGCCTGGGTTCCGCCACACGCCGCCGCGCCACTGCAAGGCACTGCGCCACTGCAAGCCCCGCCAAGCACTTAGCGGCTCACACGTCCCTGCCTTGATTACTGGCGGCACTGACCTTTCTGCCTTCCTTGCCTTTCCGCGCGATGAACATACAGTGGGTAAACACGGGGAGCGGCGCCGCCCTGCGCCGCCCCGACGCCCCGCCCCGCGGCAACACCCCGCATCACATCGCCCGGCAGGCCGGTTCCGAACGGCTCCCCCTGTCTCGCTCGCGCTCCTGCGGAACGCCGCGGGAGTGCGAGCGAGAGACACGAGACGACGGAGCACTTTTCAGAATGAGACTACAGGCCTCGGTAAAGGTAGAGCACGCCGGCATGCAAATCAATTTAATGCCTCCATCGCATTCATTTCTACACCTTGGGAAAAACCTTGACGCCCAGGTGGCCGCAAACGCCGCCCTGCCGATGGGGAGCGGGACGATTTTACAATCGATTTTGGGATCGAAGAACAGACGCTGCTGTGCGAGCTGCTGTGCGTCCGGCGCGGTGTCCCCAACGGATCTAGAGCATGAATGGGCTGGAGGCGGCCGGAGGGTCGGGCAGTGCCAAGGCAGTGCCCGCCCCGCGGTGGCGGCGGGTGCGCGTCTCGGAGTGACTTATCGCCGCGCGCGTCCAAGCAGGCCGAGCAGGCCGTGATGGCGAAGGCGCGGCGCTGTGCGCGGCACGCCGCGGCGCGAGCTCGAAATCCGCTATGCGACTCCGCGTTTTTCGTCGCTCTGTCTCTCTCACACTGCTGCGGCGGCCGCAGGGCTGCGAGAGAGACAGAGCGACCCTGTTCGGAAGCACCGCGCTGCCGCTTGCTGTCACCCCGCACCGCGCCGCGCCGGGATGTCGCTCGATGTAGTTGGCGAGTTATCGCGATGATTACCACCAACACGACTTGCCTCCCCCTGAGTGAAAACACGCCTCGCAGCCGGCCGGCCGACGGCCGACGCAGCAGGCACATTCCGAAAGTGGCTCTGTCTCTCTCGTACTCGTGGGGCGTCCATAACAGTGCGGTAGAGACACAGCGACGACTCTGGGCATCAGTTCGCAGCGTTCGCAGCCAAGGCGGCCCGGTGACCGCGCCACGCCGCCACGCCGCGGGGGCGCCACGCCGCGGTGCCCCACAGGGGGCTCGCCAAACTAAAGCCACTTGCCGCGGGGCGCGCTCGTGCTCCTGTTAAACAAGACGTTTAACAACTTTCTTCCCGCTCGCGATATTTTTCCGCAGCCTTTTCAGACCGAGACCGCTGCTTACTGGACTTCCTAGGAAATGCCTGCCTGCCTGCCTGCCCGGCCGGCCGGGTCGCTTGCTGGTTGCACCGCCGCGGTGTGAACGACGTATTCGCGGCCCTGCTCTTTGTTTGCGTTGTGGGCTGCCTATGGCTGCCTACCCCATCAACCGGTTTAAGAAGCCCCCCTCCCCGCCTCTGGCCGGCCGCCCCGTGGACAAGTGAAGTGGAGTGGGCTGTACGAACGGCCACGGATCTCACGTTTTATATTGAAGTCGGGCGGAGGGCGGAGAGATGGTCAGCTTGCTCCCCCCCCCCCTTCCCCTCCTGCCCTGGCCGCCCTGGCCGCCCCTGCGTGTATAAGTAAAGGCTATATCTCGCGCGGCTCCTGATGAGCTTGGGGCCGTCCCAGCCGCGCCGGCCCTGGCGCTACCTCTCAGCTGTACTCCGGATTCAGAAATGGTCCGGCCTCCTTGGAGAAAAATAACGCCTGTTGTGGGAGGATGGGTTTGTTGACCTATTGCGGGCGAAGTGCTTGCTTAGGTGTCCGTTTAACCACCGAAAGGTGTGGTGGGTTTAGCACCTCATTCCCTAAGGCAGTTTCGACTAGCGACTCTGGGGCCCGAAACGCGTCTAGAGTTTTGTCCGCCTCCACCGGTCTTCTGGCCCTCTGTGCGTCGGTGCGTCGGCGCGCACGGCCGCAGCCACACTGTGAGGCTGGCCGAGACTGTGAGGGACGGGGCGTGTCAAATGCACGTCTGGCCGGCAGTGCTGGCGGTGCCGCGGTGCCGGCGGGCTGTCCGGAGGTTCATAGGTCTCACGGCGCGCGTTAAATCACCTCCCCGCAGGCTGCCTCTCGCCCTCTGTCTCTCTCGCACCCATGGGGCGTGCCATGGGGCGTGAGGGTGCGAGAGAGACAGGGCGACGAAGCCACCGTCCGGCCCTGCGTGCGAAACGCTGCTGCCGTGGCGGTGCGCGGCTGCGCGGCTCGGTCTGAACTAGACCGAGGCCCCCGATTGGGCTGGGCCCCGGCCCTGGGTCCCTCGGCTACCCTCGGCCCTCTGCTCCACACATCGTTTTCATTACAGTGAACGTGTTACTCAAACATGTTTCGGAGCGCGGTGCGGCTAAAGAACATAATTTCTCTGGTAGTACGTGAGGGCCCGGCTGGGGCCAGGCCGGGGCCAGGCCGACCGACCTGCTGCAGAGGCGTTTCCATTTTCAATGCGGTGAGGTGAGGCAACGACGAACACCGCTCTCTTTTGTTTTCTGTCTTTTTCACGGCCGGGTCAAAACCAGCTCCGTTTTCCGCACCGTCGGCTGGCTGCCGCCGCTCTGTCTCTCTCGCACTCATGGGGCGTCCCGTATGCGTGCGAGAGAGACAGAGCGAGTGGCTGGCGCGCGGTTTTCTTCCACCGCGATATCGCCGACAGGGCCGACAGGGGAAATCGCTTTTGGCCCTTTTGTCGCTCCGGCGAGGATGCGCGTCGCGGCACTGCGAGTCACAGCACTGCGAGTCGCGCAGGGCGGTCGTTTCCAATTACTGGTGTACTGGAGCGCGGGAAATAATTTCATCTTATTTCCTGGTCCTTAAACCTGTCAGGCGGCGTCGTAATCTGCCCACACTCGCCGCTCGCCCCGCCCCGCCTCTCCACGCAGCGCGCGTTTTGCGCACGGCGGCCCCCCACCGCGTCGCGTCGCCGGCTTCAACAGGTGCGGATCCAGGTTGGATCCAGGCGAGGGGGGCATTCGGAAGGACCAATCCGTGGGTGGGGCTAGGCCTTGGGTTAGGCCGTCTGCACGCAGTTTTTGCGGGGTGGGACGGTGTCTCAGCTTCCCCATGTCCTGCAGTAGTAACGAGGCTTGCAGCAGCTTGCAGCAGCTTGCAAGACGGACTACGACGCGCGCGCTAGCGTTCTTCAAAGTCGCGGGTCGGGCTTGGCGCAAGCTTGGCGCAAGCTTGGCGCGCGGCCCGCGATCGGCTTGCTGTGCCTGGCTGTGCCTGGCTGTGCCTACCGGGGGTGGAGGGCGATGTGGATCGACAAGCTATCACTGCGGCCGTCCGTCTGGCCGCGGAGCTAATTGACAATTTGATAATGTTTGTGTTGGCATCTCTGTCGGCCTGCAAAGCGCTGCAAAGCTGCGCGGTCTGGCCTGGCCGGCCGGCCTGCCCGCCATCACTCTGTATCTCCCTATCCTTCAATCCCTATCGCGCTGCCCCGGCGCTGCCAGCCCGGCCGGGCCGGTTCGCGGCGCGGGCTGGTGGCGAACGGTGCCCCTCGCTCCGTCTCTCTCGCACTCGCGGGGCGGCCCGTCAGGGTGCGAGAGAGACAGAGCGGCGAGTTCGGAACGGCGGTGCAGCCTGATTGGCTAAAGCTGCAAAGCGGCGCTGCGTGGCAATGTAGCCCCGCGTAGCGCTGCGTTCCATAGTCCGGCCTGTCCGGCCGCGTCTCGCCATTTTGCGCTCGTTTGGCGGAAAGCAGAGATCTTAGATTCAGGAGCGCGACGACGCGGCCTACGACACGGCGGACACGGCCGCGGCGAGGCAGAGCGACCCGATCACTCTTGCTTTCCTACGAGTCGTCATTTACC